TTTCTAATCACAGGCACATTTTTGTCTTTTTTTTTTTTTTTTTTTTTTTGACACCGGCCACTCCTAAGACTGAAGGTGGTGGGCATTTTAATGTGTCAGCACATAATAGACGGCCACCTTTACCTCCTGTGAAGGGAAGGACAGTTGCAACCATGCCTGTTTCAGGATTCGAGCCCGGGCCGCATATTTCACAAGTGCACATCAGCGTAGCCACTGAAGGAAGGGTTTCGAAAATGGACCAACGAGCTTCTATTGCTCTTGTGGCGCTGAATCTTCCTGCATGTCAAAGTATGTCCTTACGTTTTAATTTGCATTTGTTTCGCAGTTGTAAATGTATTGCGTAATAGTAGAAAATCGCGTACTGCTTTCGTTTTATGAGTTTAATTAATCGATATATATTTGATCTAACTTCACAATGAAAATTTTTAGAAGAAATAGACGATGTACAGAAATTTTTACAGACAGAACTTTGCGTGGCAAAATATTTTCAGACATCTTGCTTAAATCTTAAAGCGTGCGAAAGGCCATGTGACATGATAGAAATATTACTGGATGCTCATTGGTCCATCCTAGAAGCCCCTCCCTCGGTGGCTATACAGATGTGCACTTGTTAAAATTGCGCCCGGACCCTTCCGTAGTTGGCTCCGCTAATATCTGAGAGGCGTTTTCAGAGACACTGAATTGGTTGCCGTAAGAGTGTATCAGACTTAAATGTCTACATTAATTTTCTCTAATTCTGTGTTTTAACTTTGTGTTTTAGAACAAACGAATAAATGCTTTTATTATGCTAACATGGCATATTCTCCATACTTAGGGAGCCAGCAGGTTACTTGAAGTCCTCTCATGTATAATACTGATTCAAAACACTTTTACAAAGCGTTCTATAAAAGCTTCCTTGTTAAGCATACAGCTCTCAGCTGTTTTATCGTGGTATATAAATTAAACACGAAATTGGCATCTTTATCTATTGTGAAACAGTTACTTACTTGTACATTTTAATCTACTTTTAACAAAGTACTGTAATTTGCATAATTTACAACATTTTGTATTTTTATAAGTTTTATATTATAGCATTTATAACTTATTTTAAAAAAGGTTAGGTTCTTAGAAATCTATTCATATGAAAGACTGCCTTCAGAGAAGCTCGGTACCGATTTCAGAGTTCTGAATAATTTAAAAAAAAGAAAAAGCAAAATAAAATCCTATCTCGATGTCGAGCAATTTTATTTCATGTGCAACAACGAAGATTGTTGTATTAAATTGCAAAATAGTTATACTGTCTAAGGAAATGCATACGAATTTCTCCATCTTAAAGTAATCCTTCTGCCACATGAATTTAAAAATAAAATTACTTTTTCTTTAGGTTATATTTTTAGTAAGCGGAAAATGTAGGAAAGAATTCTCAGCATAAATAACGTCTCACAAGCAAAACCAGTTTTGCAAATAAAATTAAAGACCTGCATTTATGTTTGTGGACAAGACAGTCCATTTTATAAGTGCATAGTAACATTTTGTTTTTGTTTTCTTTTGATTTATACAGCAAAAATACGGTAGTATGCACATTTCTTTTATTTATTAGAATTTCTCCTTCTACTGTAAATGTAAGGTTAAATGTAAATAAATACGTTAGTATCTGCATAAGCAGAGACCACAATGTCGACTAAATAAATTATCTTATATTCGTATTTTGCTATAAGCAGAAACGATAGAAATTTTGCCTCTTTGTAATGACCATTACTTAAAATATTTTCCTGTTATGCAGGTAGTACTGGTCTTTTGAATTCAGTCTTTTCAAAATCGATTAGAAAAAGTACATTCCCATGTTTTAGTACGAGCAATTAGAGTGTTTATAAAAGCATTTAGGTGTTTACAACATTAAACAGTTTCTTAAACTTAATTATTCATAATCAAAGGTTCACTTATACACTCATAATAATTTAAATTTCTAATTCATTGGGGATTACCTTTAACTAAAAATTAAACGTTCATTCTTATTTAAATAGAAATTCAGCGTATGAGAAGTGATAAAATTAACAAGTTAACAAAAGATTAAAAAGATTTGTTAACAAAGTTAAGAAAATTTAAGTTGAGAAGCTAACAGATTTATAAATTAATAACAAAAATAACCAAATTCGTAGGGAGGCGTTTGAACTCCTAGTATACTAAGCAAGAAATTAATACATCATACAGCAACTTTAATTTATTGAAATCTTACTCATGCGCGAATCGAAAACAAAATATTTTAAATTAGTAATTGTGGCATTTGATGCTTTTCATTTGGTTTATGGGTGACATCAAATTCCCTTACCACAAACATGATTTGGATCTGTACTTTAACTTCTCCTTTCCGCACTCCTTATCACAATGTTAGTAAGACAGCTAGTATTTCAATTGAGGCTTTTGAAGCTTTGAGATAGGACGCCATGGTTCGTTTGTATTCCGGAAAGAATTTATCACCGAAACTCGTATGATGGGTCTTTATATTGCAAGAATATAACTTAATATTTAAACTTACTCCCGGGAAAGAAAATGTTGTAGCTGATACTCTGTCAAAGGATTAAATTAGATGACGAAGGAAACAAGGTGAAATGTGCAATGCTAATTAAAAAAATTTTAGATTCTCGAGAAACAATAGTTGCAGAATTACAAATAGACCCGGAGTTTACATACATGTCTGAAATGAGACAGTTAGTATTTAATCTAAGGCTTTTTGAGTTTTAAGACAGAGCAAGTTTTTGGCTTCGCTTGTGGACTACGTGCTAATTCTTGCCAGCTCAAGTAGTTGTAATTAGTCGACTTTGCGTTATTTCGCTGCTGGCAATTTGCATTTGATGTGCCGATAGGAGTACTGAGCCAGTTCCAGTATTATTAAATTGTAAAGTTTTTGACTAGTGTTACACGTTTAACTTACTCTTCTGTTGCATAACCACGAGTTGTGGCTGATATTACTAGAATAAGAAAGTGCTTTTGTGTTCTAAATCTGTTTAAATAAAAAGGTTATTTAAAGCCTTATCATGACTTGTAGGTATTTAAGACCTAGCGAAAATTATCTTCATGTCTGATGCGGTTATTAGCTGCAGATCTAGTAAAGCCCTACACAAGATTTCGGACTTTTTCAGAGTTTTAAATTTATTATTGTATTTATGGTATGTATTTCAAGAAAGAATATTATAAGTCTTTCATCTAACCATATGCTTGAAAAACCTTTTTCAGCAAATTAAAAATTGATTTAAGTTCACCATTAAAGTATGAGTGAACTTCCGGTTTGCTTTTACCAGCGTGTTTAAGCGAGAAATATTGGCAGCTTTTCTGATTTTACCATAAATCTTCGAAACTCCAACTGGGAGACATGCAATTCATACTACAGAGGCACAATGTAGTACTTAATGGATGAATAAAGTATACTAGCAAAATAATGAATAGTATGTTTATAATAGGAACGAACAGAAAAAGGCTTTATTAACAGAAGGGCGTTGGTACAAAAAATTGTCTAACTAAAAGGAAGAACAAAAAAACCAAAGAGCTTTACTAAGGGCATATGATCTCCTCTTACTGCAATGGTTTCGTTGCACCGTCTGTCGATACTCAACACCAGCCTATTTTACAGTACTTGGGGTAAATATTTCCATTCTTCAAACAGTATCTTTCATTTATCTGGTGTTCTTCGGAGGATAAATTCGTACCGCCGGGCTTCTTCCTAAAGCCTATGTTCCGAAATAATACTTCACTTTTAGCAGACACCAACACCAATGAATATTATAAAACCATTATACAAACACAGAATCAGAGTCAACGAAAGTCACGTTCTCGAAGGCGACCACTTAAACAGAATACCTAAATCGCCTGGAACCGTGAGTGACGGTCTTCGGGAGCTATAATATGCCGCTCTGCTAGAAGCAAATAACCAATTCTATACATGTTTCGAAATTTAATCGCCTCATTTCTGACGTTCCTCACAATAAATAAAAAATCAGATAAGAGTTTCAAGATAGCGCAGCTTTGGCCTGCTTAATCAATACATACTTGTTTATGTTTTGTTGACGTGTTAACAGAATCTTGTTTCAAAAAGCACTTCACCTATTATCTACTATTCGGAAGCTGGAATAATTTATTATTTGGAAAAAATCGTACGACTTGTTTTGAGAAAAGTGAGAAACAAATTATGTCCTTATGGAGATGTTTGTCACCTCTAGGACTTATCGTTACCAACACCTTTCATTTTCCATCAAATATCAGTGAAAGATGTATGAAATACTCAAGTTAAATTATTTCGTATCAGACAAGGAAATAAAACTTTTGATTTAGAAATCGGTATTTAAGATCGATTTTCATTTTATACGCAAAATACTCAAGAAGTCTTGTTAGCTTTGCATGCAGTTTAATTTCTATTAACAGATAAATTATGTGTAACCTAGCCCAGTGCCCATGCGTATACTTTCATTTTCTTATTTCAAGCAAAGCTGTTTTATCTTATAATAATGCAATAATCGCTTCGTTAATTCTAAAGGATTACCAGAAATATGACTAAAACCACTGCAGCTTCAAACACTTCACTTTCTGCGCACATGAATACACACATCAATGATTGTTTGTTCATAAAGTTAGTAAAAGTTAATGATCTAATAAATTGCTTGCTTCCTTCCCTTTCGTGATCTCCTTACCTTCCAGGCAAATCAAAGTCTTCTAGGGAGGCCTAATTAATTATCAGCCTCTGGGGTCAGTTGTTTAAGCCTCAAAGTAATCACTTAATGAACTTTACTCAATTGATTGCAGTAGTTTGCGAGAAAGAGTTGGAGTTAATATTATAAAGGTAAAGCTCAGTAATAATTACTTATTCTATTTCGCATGCCAAGCAATTTATACGAAAAAAATTCAAACAAACTGTATATAACTGTTCATGTATGAAACATTGAAAGACACTAATATGAAATACTACATTCTCATAGAAATGTTGAGTTTAAGAAATTTAATCAATTTATTATAAAATATCGAACAGTTACCTCCTTGTGGAAAGAACTGTGCGTAAACATCTTTGAATGTAGATTCATTGACAATCCCTGTAGGACATGCCTGAAATAAAAAAAATGCATGAATTGTAAAAGCAGTAGGACCTAACCAATTGTACATTAAAGAAAATTATGCACGTATATATAATCATTCGAACAAATATACATACTGGTTACCTTGAAATGGAAAAATCGCGCTTTGGTGATAGCTGTGGCTGTCCCATTTTGGTGATACCCAAACAATAACTGTATCTAAAACGCCACAGCTACTGTTTCCCAGTAATATTGTATACGTATGTGAAACAAAAAGTTGTAATCCAAGTTTTATCCCATCACCATATAAACACGAGTTAAACAGGATGTACTATATTGATGTAAAAAACCAAAATATGTACTTTTACGTTATTATTACAGTGTGATGAATTTGATACTTCACTCAAGTGCTTTAATTATTTTAAAGTTAAACAACCTTAAGGGTCAAAACAACAAGATACAAAAACCAAAAATCTTAAGTCCCTAAACTCAAAATAAATTAAACAACTTCACTCAGAAACTTTTAAAGCAACCAAGCTAAATTTAAAGTTTCAAAAGTTACAGTTAAACTTACAACCAACTTTAAACAACCAAAGCTAAAAAGAAATTAGAACTTCAATTACAGATCAAAACTGAAATAATAAGCAAAACTTAAGCTTGAAAATAAAAACGATTAGTTCACAACACAAGGTACTGAGGAATATTACAGCCTCTTCGTGCTGTAATGTTCAGAATGTGCTGTTGATTTCAGACTCAAGCAATGATGTCATATTTATATGTTAATTCGTTACTTAACTATAGATAGATTGCAGAGTAATGAGAACGACTTAAGTGTTGTTATTTTGCATTATAGATATAATTATATAATGATGCATGTAAGACTTTTCTTAGTATATTTCGTAAGTACATGAAACATATTTTGTAAGTAAAATTTTATTTGCCAAGTGGGAAAACTACAAGCTCTTACAAACCCGTTTACACAAAAATTCTCGATTCTTTTAAGAAAACTTTTGACGCCGCAACAAATTTAACAGTTTTAAAACTGTTTTGCTTTAACATTATTTCGTTCCCCATAAATAAATTGAGCATTATTAATTATGTACATTAGGATTAAAAGAAAAGGGGTGTCTTATCTGAAATCGGAAATTTTCAGTTTGGCCTGTCAATCAATAAACACATTTAACAAAAAAATTTCAAGTGCCATAGAACTGTATGAAGAAAATGTAATTAAAATAGCATCCATTGGCCAAAAAAAACAGAAGTATTGAGATGTATCTAAAATGACTAAACTTTACGAAAGCCAATGCGGAACACGCCAAATTAAACGAGGGCGGAGAAGAAAGGAACAAAAAAACACTTTGTTTGAAGCATAATATTTATTTTTCAAACAATTAATACATTAGTTTTTTTATTCAGTTGTTTACATGTTACAGAGTAGGCCCTCAAGTAAACACCACTGTCCCAAAATATTTCAGCTATTAAGAAAATGAGTCGGCTTAGAGAATGTATAGAATCTTAGAATATGATCGGTGATGTTTAACAATGATGCGTATTTATGTTTTCAGAAATGTTCATTTTCAGGGGCGGTCTTCATTTTATTTATTATCAAAATATAAACTATACTGCTGCAAATATTTCCAGTAAGCGAAGTCGGTTCAACTTTATACTCAGACAACTGCTTGATTTTTTTTCAGGTATTTGACATCTTTCTGAACACAATGTTTTAATGAATCAACTGTTATCAAAACATTATCCTTCATCAAAATGTTTTTTAGACAATTGGATGTCCTCGTTGTGATACAATGTTTTCAAAAGGTGATCTATTTAAAATTCTTGAGATAACTTAATTTCATTACCCATTCAGAGTACGAAACGCAACTAGAAAACAAAAATCCAAAAATTCTTTCAGAAATTAGACTTTTCGTAGACTTCAAAAATTCCCCATAACCTACGTATAGAAAGCACGATTATTTTATTATTAAGTATATTTCTGACCTTCCCTACCATAGTTAACTCCATTAGTAAAACTACATGTCGACTATACTTAAGGAATATTCGCAAAATATGGTAAATTTTCTGGGATGTATCCTGACCTACCACGTGGAATAGTTTACTGAAATACTGATAAGTTCCTCGCAAAATGGAGGATCTGATCCCTTTAAGTTAATAAAAAATAGTTTATTTTCTGTATAGAGCTCTAAAATGAAGCTTACTGACAAACATTTGAGGTGTTACTATCAATAAATTTAACATGTTATTAACGATTTACATATGTTGCTTTATTTCCAACATCAGTACTTAATGAATTCTAACTCTTTTAAGACGTTATTATGGCATTATATCAGTTTTGCAACACTGATTTATAGAAGTGATGCTTCTTGTAAAATTTATCAAATGATAAAAAAACCACCGTTACCATTGGTTTAAACTACCGTTAAAGTTTCGATTGTTTAAACTACCGTTAAAGCACAGTTTGAAATTATTTTTAGTTATTGCAAGCCATCGCTTGTCTACTGTAAGAGTTTGAAACACCAAGTGGAGCATAAGCCGGTACTTAGTACCTGAGAAACTTTAACAGATAGAAACATCTAAGGATACCGTAAATTGATCATAACTTGCCTAAATCTGAGGAAACACACATTTTTCTGAAAAGATTCTTCACGAATTTACCATAAGAAAGCACACTGTGTTGAACTAAAATGCGTTTCTTAATAGAAGCTGCAGATTTTCAGTTATCTAGTCACTTATTATGATGCGTAGGTTTACTTGCAAAATCCAGACAATTAAGGAAAATGAGTGGATAGTGGATAATAGCTTGCATTTTGTGTAAAATAAGAAAAAGTGGTTACGCGAAGTTTGTTTACTAATTTTCCAAGCAAGTAATCCATTTTAAAACATAACAACTGATCTATCAATCCAGACCTTTACTAGAAACATCACCTTTATTAATAACACTGAAACATTAACCAAATCTTTGCTCAAGACGACACAGTCTTCAATATGACCATATTCCACTTCTCACTTCTAGGACAGTCTATCAAAAAATAAAGGTTATTGAAATTCTAATCTTGCTCATTTCACCATAAAGTTCGGATTTTGTTTATTCCGAATCTATACGAAGAACGTTCGTACATTAAAATCAAAGAACGGTTTTTTTCAAAGAAAACGGAAAAAGTGACACAAAGTGGAAAGAAAATACTCTAATATAACGACATATAGCTTATGTTTAGAGGTTTTTTTTTTGGTTTTATAAAATGATAATAAACACTGAATTGGAAGTTAAACTACTTTTGATGCCTTGCATTTACTCTCATGGTGCTTTAATTATGCATTTATTTTTACATATTTCTTGTTTCATATATGCAGTAGTTATTCAACAATAACTTTACATCATCTCTTAAGTCTAAAAGACCCCGTTTTAACTCTTGGAGCCATTATCGTATTTGAAATAACGTCAAAGGAACGGCTTTTACTTCCATTTATTCCTAGAGAAATATGTATTTTAAAGTGGTCTTCTAATTTCTAAACTGTTACATGCTATGAATACTTGAAAACTTATACTAGAAACTGAAAGCTAGTAACAAATGCAGAAGATGGCATTAAGAAAATAAAAAACAGAAAACTTATGTAAGTAAAATATCCTACAATAATTTGGCAGAAATTTTTCATATAACACCGTTTTCGAAGATTTATAAAGCATTTACACCAATCTAAGATTATTTTAGACCTGTTAAATATATTGATTAATTAAAATATCATAGTGACTAGTTTAATTATTTTATTGGTCACTTAAATACTCTAAGCATATCGTGGCTCAGTGGGTGAGACGTCGGATTCAGAAAGTGAAGGTCCCCAGTTAGAAACGAATCAAAGGCAAATCACCTAATTTTTGTTTAAATAAAATAAAATTTAAACAAAATCACAAAACAAAAAAATTTATTTCCTTTATGTTTAATTTGTATGAAAATGTTCTCCCTTTTCTTGATCCTTCTAAGTTTAGAATGTTCCAGCTAGTTCATCAAGTGTATATAAGTTGTATAAGACTTTATTACTCAGTTCGAGTCTTATCGAGTTATTAAGCCGTGCCTTGAGTACTTTCCTCTTCATTTGTCTTAATACGATAATTTTATCTATGCGAAAATATATTGACTAGTTACACTGTGTTAATCCTTACCCTTTAACATTTTATGAATTTATTAACAATCTTTTACTAAAACGCCAGAAATAAAAAATGGTCATTGAAACCCGCGTTGTAAAATACGCAACTAAATGTGCATTGGTCGTATCATCGTTCTTTCTTATGGTAGATTAATCTAGGATAGTTACAAGCCGCATCGAATTTTGCTTCTTTGCTTTCCTTCACATTGTTTTTCCCTTTCCTTTTGTTCAAAATTAAACATTGCTTATAAATGTTTAATTAAAAATTTCTGTTTTACACAAGCTGATATTTCTATTCACACAAAAGAACTAACAGATTACTATATTTGGATATAGTGCTTAATAAATTAAAAATTTTTCTAAGGGATAGATTTGAATAAAAACACCAACTGCTGTATTTCAAGTTTTGTTTTCATTAGCGTTTTAAAAATGGTAACACATTATCGTTCATTTACCTGCATTCCTTTTTTAATAATCGAGATATGCGTCAACATTTTACATTATTCAATAAACTTAAGAATCATAGTATATTAATTTCTTCTCATGAATTTTGCTTCCAAAAATATAACCCAGTATTTTTTTTTCATCTTAGCGTCCGAGTTTTTAAATCTAAGAAGTGAGTTTCTCAAGTATCTTGTTTTTTCAGGATATCGTAAAACATGAAAATTTCTTCTGGAACGTTACACACATTATTAGTTTATAAAGGTATGAAATGTACAGTTTTTATGGCATACACATAGTTTTCAGTTTAAAGAAAAACGTACCCAGAATGCAATATGGAAAATTTGCGATGATTGATTTCACCCCAAGAATTCAAAATAAATAAGTAAAAATGAAAAATTTTATAATAGTTATTTCTTTTTCAAAATAGGA